GAGAGGGAAGTCTGGGTCTCTGCTGAGGCTGCTGCCCCCGAGACCTGACCCTGGATAAGAGGAAGAAAATGGACGGACGGATTCTATTTGTATAACTATACTGGTGTAGTTTAGTTAGTTTTAATGTCTTTGAGACAAAAACAGTGAGGTGATAAACGTGGAGATCCAGCTGCGGACAGATGGACCGAGCCGCAGTCAGAACCTTTGCAGAGAGGAGAGAAGCTCAAAGACAGAGATGGAGGAAAACCAGTCTGAGACAGAAAGAGGACTTTGATGAAGAAGTAGGTGATTCACTCTTTCGATTAAAGAGGCAAGAGAAGAAGATCAAGCACCGAGTGGACTACTGGGGAACATCTTCAGTCCCGTTACCAGTCTGCTGGGGCAGCTGGCGGCAGCACTAACTACACCCAACAGCTGATAAAAGCCCGTAAACAACTGGAGGTGCAGAGCTTTTTATGCAGTGGGTGGATCCACAACCTCGGTACCAAACAGCTCCATGATGATTATTGTTTGGTTTCTGCCAGGGTGAGTGTTTGTTCTGATTGTTTTTATATGTTAAGATCATGCTAGCAGTAGCCGCTAACATCAACAAACATCCAGCACCCAACATAGAATGCTAGGGCAGCCTAAAGTCCAGATCAGGTCCACATTAAACTACCAGTAACTTTATACTCATTACTAAATAAATAATCATTTTACAACAACCTGATGCTTTATAAACATAGCCTCTAAAACAAGTTGTTTGTCTTGAAACAGGATCTAAATCCAGACTACACAGACGCTACACCAGGCTCCTAWAGAGACATTTTACTTCCTGTCCTCAGGTGGAGATGGCTCCACCTTGGAGACCAGGTGACTGAAACCCAGTTATTGGTTCATATTTACCTTGTAGTGCTGCAGTGTGTTGAGACGTTTCCAGCAACCCTGAACCACTGCTGTGACATCATCATCTGAAAGAGTCAGGTGACCTGCCTGACCTGAGCGCCATTCTGTGGACAAACAGTTACAGGTGAGCATGAGCTGCAGGGCCAGCAGAGACCAGGTGAGACCAGGTGAGACAGAGACACATGTACCCAGGTCCAAGCTGCTTGCTACTGGCCTCTGAGAGAACGGAGCTCCTCTGTACACCTGGTCTAGGATTTTGTCCTTTACCTGCGCACATGAAACATACCAACAGGTGAGAGTCAGGTAGACAGGTGAAGGACAGACAGACAGACAGGTACCTACCTGTGTGATGGTGTCAATGTCAAGTACTTTAACAGGACACAGCTGGACCTCAAGTCCATTCTTCACCAAGACGTTAAGAGTCTGAGAACCAGGAGCAGAGAGACAAGTCCAAGTCATAAACCCTGAAGCAGCTCAGGTGAAACAGCACCTGTCATCACACAGGAAGTGTTGCTATGGTTACCACTGAGCAGTACTCCATGTCCTCTCGCAGCAGGTGACTGTCGTTCAGCGTCCGTTTGGCTTTTCCTGTCACTGCGTCCACTGGACCTTTGTCCACCTGGTATTTAATGGCTCTGTAGAGCATGTAGAGTGGCTCCCCCGCCACATCCTGTCAGACACACAGCTGAAGGTCAGCTGAAGGTCAGACACACAGCTGAAGGTCAGCTGAAGGTCAGACACACAGCTGAAGGTCAGCTGAAGGTCAGACACACAGCTGAAGGTCAGCTGAAGGTCAGCTGAAGGTCAGACACACAGCTGAAGGTCAGCTGAAGGTCAGCTGAAGGTCAGACACACAGCTGAAGGTCAGCTGAAGGTCAGACTGAAGGTCAGACACACAGCTGAAGGTCAGCTGAAGGTCAGCTGAAGGTCAGACACACAGCTGAAGGTCAGCTGAAGGTCAGCTGAAGGTCAGACACACAGCTGAAGGTCAGCTGAAGGTCAGCTGAAGG